GATGCTGAAAATACAGCTGCGCATCACAGAAATAAATTACAGTTTAACAGATATTCACATAGAAAACAGCCATTTTAAATCTTAATAATATTTAACAATATTTACTGTATTTTTGATCAAATAAATGCAGGCTTTGAATCATGAACTAAGTATTCCTAATCAAGACATTTGTTCTGAGAGTAGTTTGATTTATTATTATTATTATTATTTTTAGATCAGCATGAGGTTGATTATTCTGGTTCATCTGATGAAGCGCGTCGTACTATACCTTCATGGCCATGAGCTCCTGCATGAGCACGGCGTTCTCCAGGTCGAGTCTCTGCGAGTCTCCGCGGGGTTTGACGTCGTAGCTCAGCGGGTCGATGTGGACGCTCTCCAGCTCCAGCATGGTCAGCTTGACAGCCGCCCGGTCGTTCTTCAGCTGCTGCACGTAGTCCTTTAGACGCTGCTCGTCGTCTTTGGAGAAATCCGTGTCACAGCTGCTCGCCGTCGAGCTGGTGGTGCTGCAGCATCGACAACAACTCAGAAGATTTATATTCAAAGAAAAATTTTATTAAATGTTACCCTTTTTAAAAGAGTTTTCATAGAACTCAATTTTTCATTATTCTCACCAACCATAAAACTGCATTCACACACACACACACACAGGAGAGACAGGTAAACCAGCAAAGATTCACTCATACACACATTAAACTACAAATTCAGTCACACACACACACACACTGTTTTCACACTGAAAAATGTTATGGCCATAAGAAATTATTTTTTATAATACTTGCTATTTCAATAACAATAAGAGTAATTGTTAATACAAAATAATTATAAAATGTATTATACAAATAATTTGTAACAACAGTTGTTGTTGTTATTATTATTGTTGTTATTACTTTAATATATTTTTTAATTATTTTTTATATTAGTAATAATAGTTTATAATGAATGTTTATTAATATTTGTTTATTAAGCATTTTACTAACAATAATAGTAATTCATATTATTACTTATTTTGCTCTATATTTGATCATAATTATTATTATACAAAATACGATGAGACCATCGCAACTGGCCCACCTTTACAGGTACTCGGCCCTGCACCAACTGTGAGCCAGTGGCATTGCTTCTCCTCTCCTTCTCTCCTCCTTTTAAGCACCAGGTCAAGGCTTGGCTACATCTTTCTACTGTACAAGGGTTAGTAGCTACAGCCGGTCGTCAGATGGGCAGCCCCCTTCCTTGGTGTTTCACCAATTTAAGCCCATGACACCTCGGGAGGGCTCGACAGCAAATCCAGCATCCTGGATCTACCCCTGCTGGCCACCACCTAACTCTATGCTGTTGTTCGTCCTTCAACAGGTTGGCTCTGCCACCGCACCTCCCGCTGTATCCAGATCCAATGAGATGCTGTTTCTGCCTGTTTTCCGCCTGGCCATCCCTTCAATCCCCAGCAGCCCAAGGGTTCTCTAGAGTGACCGTCCAGCAAAACCTCTGCAGCCGACCTCTAATGGTAAATTTCAGTCCTTCCATCCATTTTGCTGGCTCTCGAGGATAAGGCCTTAATATTTCTTGAGCTTGCGCTCATGTGCCTCCTCCATCCTTCCCTCCCAGGGTACTTCTATGAGCACCACCTGCTTGGTACCTCTAGACCAGAGGACAATATCCGGTCTGAGGATAGTGTGTGCTATCTCCTCTGGGAATTTAAGCCGCTTCTTCAGGTCTGCCTGCATCTCCCAGTCATTTGCTGAGGCCAGGACCCCTCTACTCCTCAGTCCTGCTGCAGTGCTCTCTCCTGTCCTGATGAACTGGAAAAGGGGGCAGTCGTGGCCTGATGGATAGAGAGTCGGACTTGTAATCCGAAGGTTGTCTGCTTATCATTGAGGTCTGCCCTATACCACTTCCCCAAGCTCTTCACTGGTCTCTCTTTGACCATTGGGATGATGGTATCTTTGATCCAAAATTGGAACCGGTCCTGAATGCACCCCTTCCTCAATACCAGGCTTCTGGGCATTTCAGGTTTAAACTTAATTCTTGCCCAATCCGTGAGCTCAACCAGATCTTCCAAGATCCATCTTTCAGGTACTGATTTTGCCGTGATGGTGAGGTCATCCACAAATGCTCGTATAGGTACCTGCTGGATGCCACTGGCCAACACTGCACTCCGCCACAACTTCTCTGCTGACTTAACGAGAATGTTCATCGCTGCCGAAAACAAAGTCACTGAAATCGTGCAGATAGTGACAATGCCCACCTCTAGCCTCTGCCATTCGGTAGTGAAGTCTCCACAGGTGAAGCGCATGTTGAAGTTGTCATAGTAGCACTGCAAGAGTTCTGGAAACGCTCTGGGACATGGTAGGTCTTCAACGTCAAATCCACCAACTTATGGGGTATTGTCCCATACGCATTTGTCAAATCCAGCCACAGAACTGCCAGGTCACCATGGTTCCTCATCGCATCTTCGATGATCTTAGTGATTATGCTGGTGTGCTCAAGACAACCCGCTACCCCTGGCTCCCCCCCACTTTTGGATGGACGTGTCCATCATAAAGGTGGTCAGCCTCATCTTGCCTTCGATGTTGAGGAGTAAGATGGCACGAAATTGCTTGATTCCTGTAGAATTTTCTTCCTTAGGGATGAAGCATCCCTCAGCGACCAGCCAACTGTCAGCGAGGAAGTCTTTCTTCCATGCCACTCTCAGTAGCTTCCAAAGTCGTCTCCTGAGCCTTTCACAATATTTATACACCTTGTACGAATTGCCATTTGGCCCTGGGGCTGATTTTGCTCTGGCCTTCCTGAGAAAGGTGTTCACTTCCTGCCAGCTCGGTTCCTCAGCTCTGAAGAGAATAGCTAGTTCTGTTGGTTTTATAAGTTTTTCCATCTCCTCCAGGCTGTCCTCCCTTCTAGGGTCACTATGGACCTGACAAAGGTGCTCCTCCACCTCCTCCTTTGTTGCTTTCAGCTGCCCTGATCTTACATCGCCCAGAAGTTTCGACAGATATTTGAAAGGATTCTTGGTGAAATCTGCCCGCTCCTTCATTCGTCGCTTCTTGTCCCTGCGGTGACATTCAGCTCTTCACAAGGTCTTAATGCGCTCCTTCAGGTTGTCACGAATTTCTGTGCTGGTCTCTCATCCGCTTTTGCTTCACGAAATGCCTTCCTCAGCCTCCACAGATACCCTCTAAGGATGTCTATCTCCTTCACGCGTTCGTTTTCCTTTGGCTGGACAATGTTTGTTATGTTTTGACCTTAGGCTCTTTCTTTCCAAAGCGATCAGCACATATGCTCCAAATAATGGAAGCCATAGCCTTGAGCTTCTTCCCCACATCTCCTGCCAAGGCTGTTTCCAGCACCTCATCCACATCATGATCAATCCTCTTCCACTCCTTCCTTGCCACTGCCGCGGGCCAGTTCACTGGTTCCTTTCGGACCACTCCTACACATGTATCCTGTCTAGGTTGTCTAATGTCCTGTGTACCCTCCGCCTCTGTCTGGTGCTTTGTGTCCTCTGACACATCGGTGATGTTGTTCCTGCTCTCGTCTTCATTATGTGCCTGGAGATTCCGGGGGCTGTGGTTTGCCTCTCCTCCGTCTCACCAGGTTTCCCTGTGCATTGTACATTATGTTCAGGTTGCAAGCACTTCATCTTTGCCTGATGTATCTTCAGACCCCTTTCATTTTTACATATCCTCCCAATTAATTATTAATTATATTTACAATAAATGTTTAAAATTATTTTAATAACAATAAGAGCTATTACTATTATTATTATTATGTATTAAGCCAGGGCCGTTCACGGCAGAGACAAATTGACAGACCATCGTTAATTTTTAACCAGAGTTCAGGGTGAGAAAGCGCTTTTGATGTGATGCTGCACAGACTCTGACTGCAGCGGTTTAAATCATCATCAGTGTGAACGAGACTAAACACAATCACAATGAAGCGTGAAAATGGCTCCAAATGAATCTCCCTCCTCAATTAGCGAAGCCCCTAATTACAATGACAATCACAATTATCTCCATCTGCACAGAAACACTGCTGGCACACACACACACACACACACACACACACACACTCCAGCCACAGAACTGCCAGGTCACCATGGTTCCTCATCGCATCTTCGATGATCTTAGTGATTATGCTGGTGTGCTCAAGACAACCCGCTACCCCTGGCTCCCCCCCACTTTTGGATGGACGTGTCCATCATAAAGGTGGTCAGCCTCATCTTGCCTTCGATGTTGAGGAGTAAGATGGCACGAAATTGCTTGATTCCTGTAGAATTTTCTTCCTTAGGGATGAAGCATCCCTCAGCGACCAGCCAACTGTCAGCGAGGAAGTCTTTCTTCCATGCCACTCTCAGTAGCTTCCAAAGTCGTCTCCTGAGCCTTTCACAATATTTATACACCTTGTACGAATTGCCATTTGGCCCTGGGGCTGATTTTGCTCTGGCCTTCCTGAGAAAAGTGTTCATCTCCTGCCAGCTCGGTCCCTCAGCTCTGAAGGGGATAGCTGGTTTTGTTGGTCTTATGAGTTTCTCCATCTCTTCCAGACTGTCCTCCCTTCTAGGGTCGCTATGGACCCTGCCGGAGGTGCTCCTCCACCTCTTCCTTCTTTGCTTTCAGCTGCCCTGATCTTACATCGCCCAGAAGTTTCGACAGATATTTGAAAGGATTCTTGGTGAAATCTGCCCGCTCCTTCATTCGTCGCTTCTTGTCCCTGCGGTGACATTCAGCTCTTCACAAGGTCTTAATGCGCTCCTTCAGGTTGTCACGAATTTCTGTGCTGGTCTCTCATCCGCTTTTGCTTCACGAAATGCCTTCCTCAGCCTCCACAGATACCCTCTAAGGATGTCTATCTCCTTCACGCGTTCGTTTTCCTTTGGCTGGACAATGTTTGTTATGTTTTGACCTTAGGCTCTTTCTTTCCAAAGCGATCAGCACATATGCTCCAAATAATGGAAGCCATAGCCTTGAGCTTCTTCCCCACATCTCCTGCCAAGGCTGTTTCCAGCACCTCATCCACATCATGATCAATCCTCTTCCACTCCTTCCTTGCCACTGCCGCGGGCCAGTTCACTGGTTCCTTTCGGACCACTCCTACACATGTATCCTGTCTAGGTTGTCTAATGTCCTGTGTACCCTCCGCCTCTGTCTGGTGCTTTGTGTCCTCTGACACATCGGTGATGTTGTTCCTGCTCTCGTCTTCATTATGTGCCTGGAGATTCCGGGGGCTGTGGTTTGCCTCTCCTCCGTCTCACCAGGTTTCCCTGTGCATTGTACATTATGTTCAGGTTGCAAGCACTTCATCTTTGCCTGATGTATCTTCAGACCCCTTTCATTTTTACATATCCTCCCAATTAATTATTAATTATATTTACAATAAATGTTTAAAATTATTTTAATAACAATAAGAGCTATTACTATTATTATTATTATGTATTAAGCCAGGGCCGTTCACGGCAGAGACAAATTGACAGACCATCGTTAATTTTTAACCAGAGTTCAGGGTGAGAAAG